TGAGTGAAGAAGAAAAAATGAATAAAATAAAAAACATACCGGACTATTCCCAAGGAAAAACTGAACTTGTGGCTTGGATGGTTAGTAACTGTGGCGCTCAACCTCGAATGGCTTTTGCCGAAACGCTGAAAAAATACATCAAGGTTGACGTGTTTGAAAGGTGTTCCGGAAAATTTGGGCAACCGAAAGGATGTGGAAATCTAACTGCTTGCCTTAAAACGTTTAAGTTTTATCTGGCATTCGAAAACGCTTTATGTGAAGATTACATCACTGAAAAATATTGGGGAAGGCTTGGTAAGACCCTGGTTTTTTTAACACTTACAAAATAGTTTCCGAAAAAACAGTTGGAAAGTAAATAGAATACCATTTTTTGGGTCGTTCCAACAGTGAATTTCCGCATACATGCCAACTCTCCCGAATACGGCACCGATCTCCCGCTGTCCCGTACGGGCCACCCAGTCTCTCGGATAAAATTGACTTTTAAACTTTTCTGTGCTTTAGTTTGAAATTTAGCTCATTTTTATAGTCAAAACTGGAATTTGTTTTATTCATAGTACTCCGGTTTCTGAGGCACCTTTGCATCAAAAACGAGAAGTCCAAAGACTACTGCAAAGCTGATTCAGAACGTATGTTGTTTTTTCATAACAATATTTCGGCTGGCCATACTGAGCCTTCTTCAGGTTTACAGATGTTACCACAGGGCAACCACACAATCTGTGCGTCTAGCCGATTGTTCTTTTATGGTAAATATACTGAATTTATGGCTTGCCTTACCTATAGCGATATATTGCTAGGTATGTATGTAAATCAATGATAAATAAACGTTGAATTACCTTACCGGCGATAAACTGTTGTCCTTTTGCCTCAAAAGCGATCTTTTGAGCGATTTTGAACGATTATGAGTTCGCCGTTTACTGCACAGATTATGTGGGCCCTCTTACTGAACTTACGTAGGAATCACAATATTATATAGATGGAGATATTATATAGATGGAGAATGTCGCAATAAAAATTGTTTAAAAGGCAGAGGCGGAAATGACGTACAACACAAAAACTAGAAAGGAAAATCAGGCTATATTTGTACGGACTGAATGTTCCGGGGGGGTACCCCATATAATCGCCTATATGTGTTGGCTCCGCCCGAATGGGGTACCTTATCAGGTTTCAGATAAGGAAGGTAGGGATTTCACTAGTTGAAGTATGTGAATGGGTGGGGAAATCTGTCATTTCAGTTGTAAAAAGGCTCAAAAGGGCTGACAGATCAGATACATTTTATCTCTGTAAAAAAGTCGACGGAACGTTCTGTTTTTTTAGTTTATTCCCATTTTAAGGACAATAAATTTACATCTGCAATTAAAATGGATGGAAAGTTTTAGACTACTAGGTATGTGAAAGAGACACCATTTGTCAGTAGAGGGTATACGAAAGGGGTACCTTTCCTCTCAAAATTCCTCTATAAAATGGACTGGAAGGGCTGGACCTAAGGGCGAAGCCTCCAAGTAACAAACAAAAACCTGTCAGCAAAACCTACAGACCTAAACATGATATTTTTTGCCTTTTAATAGCGTTTAGTTGTCCTTTTTGGTATCTTATAATATACTTCGAATGCGCTCATAGACATGGTGGAGATTCTATTTTCGCGGGGGAAAAGTGCCCTAAAATGTGTCTAAAAATAAACTGGTCCGTAAAAACGCCGTGACATAGGCCTAGTATGGGAGTTACTCGCTCCGGGTTATGGGCTCCTGAATTGTGGCATTTTAAAATACTTGCTAACCTAAAAGTTTTTCTAATTTCCTGTTTTCCTGATTCTGTAAGTGTTTTCTTCTCTAATTGGCAACATTATGACTGAAATGAACTACTGCATGCGGGCGATGATACAGGCCCTCTAACTGGGACAGATTTCTGGGACGGTTATTAGACGGTGACCGCTTAATACAGGTGCACAGCATTGGTAAATAGCATTTCAGCCATGGGCGTCTACAATTTAAAGAGGGTCTGAAGGGGGTACATCGATAACACTAAACACTTCATTTTTTGGTTTTGTAACATGAGACAGTTAAATTTTAAGCATTTTAACACTAATTTTCACGTACTGCGCTCAGAATTTAATATGTCTACATTACTATTTTTGCTGATCAGGTTTTTACAGATCCTACGTTCTTCGGCATATTCGTTTGCGGTCTTTTGCAGTCCTTTGTGGTTAATGTTTGTATTTTAACACTAACAGTAAAAATTCTTTGAAATAGTAAATGTTCTTCAGGAAGAAGAAAAAACGTCTCCAAAAGGCCAAAATCATTTTGTTCAGTATATCAAGGAGTTTTCGGCCATTTTACGACAATTTATTTCAGATTTCCGAAGGCTACCGAAGATTCCCGTAGACTGCCGAACATTTTCGAAGACCAACGAACGGGTCCGACCATTGCCGAAGAAAATTCGAAGAATCCTCCAAACACTTAACAGTAAACATTAAAAACTTGACAAATACAACAGATTATGGGCAAATAACATTTAACACTAAACCCCATTCAGACCCTCTAAATATTGCACAGTTTGGTAGTTTTCAGATCATGATTAGCTCTTTTTTTTCATTCCAGGTGATATGAATGTCATCCCTGTTGTGATGGGAGGTGCCAATTACTCCAAGCTGGCTATTCCGGGGTCTTATATCAATGTTATGGACTTCAAAACTGTTAAGCAACTGGCAGAGTACCTTCAGTATCTGGACAAAAATAACACTGCTTATAATGAATACTTTAAATGGAGACTAAAATACAAAGTGTTTCGAAGCAACCTTGATTTATCAATGTGTCAAATATGTAAATGGTTTGTTTCAAAATCTCCGCTTGAACCGAAAGTGTATGGTGACCTTAGAACGCACTGGCTGAAGAAGGGACGATGTAATGAGAAAAGCCATCTTATCCGAAATATGTGGAAAGACGAATGATTCCTCAGGAATGATCATATGATATTACTATCCATTTACAGTTCTTTCAAATGCAAAGAAATGTAACAATCATGACATGCTTCAAGAGAGGATAAAGGGGACAGAGAAGGCATCCCCCATACACACCCTATTCCATAGGTAATTCGTCTCGAGTTATTTTTAAGACCACAGATCCCAAGGGGGATTAGACAACATCCAATCACATAGCGCAAATGTGTTCCGCGTGGATGACCCACGCTCAGAGCCACGCGTCCTTCACGAATTGACGCAGAACAAAATGGCGGAAGACGCGGAGAGCGATATTGCTATTCGTTTTGTCGACGAAAACGACTACAGAGAGATTTCTGCATTTCGACACAGTCGCTTTGCCTTTAATTTTTTCTTAGCGGGAAGGAGAGAACATATCTCGATTGTCATGTCGTCCCTTTAGGAATTGTGTGACTTATAAGACTCAGGATCATTTATAATTTACAGTTTGTAGAGAGCAATTTCTGGTTTGATATTTATTCTTTTATTCGTCTTTTATTATTCAACAAAAATAACACTTGGCGTCCTACTTGCTTTATTGTACAAACGACCGGTTTCAATAGACCATTAAAGCACTGAGGTTACAACAACTTCGAGTTAAACTGATTTCACGGGTTGTCAAAAAGTCCAGCGATTTCCTTTTCCCAGGTGAGCGCCGACTCATTTCGCTTCAATATTCAGGAATGCTCTCCATCTCTTTACGCTTTCATAACACTAAATAGTTCAAGTGTAATAAACTTGTGGCCCTCAAACTCTTGTATGTGTGTGTTTTTCTGAGTAGTGTAGGGAAAATTGGTCAAATTCCCCACTCCCCTGACATTAAAGTGATGGTCACTGACCCTCGGGCTTTCCCCGGGGGAATATTGAAGTTTTGAACTGATCGGTGCATGAGTCGGGCGCAGAACGGCTCCCTTTTCCTTTTTTTGTATTTTATATTGTACATAGCGGAAATCTGTTTTATCTTTTTATTTAGGGAAACGTCATAGGGTCAACCTCCAGTTTTTCCTTTTCAAGATGTTTTATAATTTTTGTTTCCCCATCTCGAATAAATATGTTATGTTATGTTATGTTATGTTAGCTATCGTTTAAAATGGCAAGAAGGTGGCCAAAGTTTTTCTTCTTCTTCGACTCAGTTTGACTCATGATCAGTACTCGCCATTTATTCCACCATGTCGTGTTACTAATTTATCTTCAGTGCTGTCATCTTCAAACTGTTAGCCCTGTGTTAAGCACAGGCCATACACTTAATTTCAAAATGGGGGCAATACAGTATGAACCCGCGAGACAGAGAACCTGGTTCAAGAATCTGTTAAGCGGAAATTTGCTAGTCACGTTGGGTCCCCTATATACAAGAACCTGGTTAACCTAAAACTTGAAACAGGTTCCTATTTGCTAAAATCTATATAAAAAAAACTTCTGAACACTTAGGCAAAAGATAAGTCAATGCAAGATTCTCTTTGGAGACATAAATGCCTTATCACATCAGCTCCAATGTGTGCAGATTTTATGTAAGGAATAAAAGCTGAAAACTACTTGGTACTAGGCCTTGTATACCATAATGCGCCGTTTTCAAAAGTATACGTGTTCGTTGTCATCAGAAACGCATCGATCAATTCGCGTCCACACTACCGTTTTGATGCGTTTAGGACTGTCCACACCGTAAAACGTTCAAAGACAATAGAATTGCACGTTGTGACGTACCGAGACGTAACTTGAAGTCTTGGTGTATACTACAAAGGCACGCGTTTGCGATATTTCAAGAGATACTTCCAGTCATCGTTTCATTTTGATGCGTTTTCAAGCGTCTTCGACCGTCCACATTAATACGATGTATATGCGTTTCCGTTTTGATCCACTTTCAAGAGCTAAATACACTAAACACTCTTAGCTACAATGTCAATGTTCGTATTTTCTAAAAAAAAATACTATTCTTTCTTTTTTCCCTTCAGAATATAAGAATCTTTTTAAAAAACCTTATTAGCCTCGATTCCTGCTAATTACAATTTATGTAAGAACCTGTTCAGGCTAACTTGGGAAATGCAGCTTCTCTGTGGACTCGCGATTTTTTACTCTATTGCTTTTCTTTTATATCATGCTATTTAGCCCTTTTTGCACCTGCAGAATTCAAAACAATTTATATCTTGAAACGAGTTGTCAAGGGTCAAAATTATCATTATGACAATTGAACAACAAAATTTGCCGCCATTCGGAATAAGTTCAAGAATTTCCCTGGGCCAAGAGTTTCTCTTAAGCCTGGGTCCATCTATCCTATGCCCTGTTTTCGGCCGTCTTTCGTCATTTGACACTTCAAACTGATGAGCCAGATTTTAGGTTCTATACTATTGGAAACCGCGCTTCATATGAGCGACTGGGCTTACGATGCGTGAAATAGATCACTCCAGAAAATACCATAACATACCATCATGTTCTTTGTTGGTCACCTCCAAATTTTGCATAAGCATTGTTTTCAGTTTCTCTTGGGGCCATTTTCCCAACAGAAACTGAAGACAATGCTTGTGGAAAATTTGGGATTGACAAACAAAGAGCATTATAGGATGTTATGGTATTTTCTGGAGTGGTCAATTTCCCTGCTGTTTTGTATATGCAACTGTGCTCATCCTCTCTGTTAAACCCTGTGTAGGCTTAGCTACAAAATTCCGGAATTTTTTTGGAATTTTAGACATCGAAAAGAATTTTAGAAAATCTCAGGAACCATTAGGGGAAAAATCGACAAATTCGAGAATTTTAGAGCAGTTTGAACATTCAGCCGACGTTTTGGCAGTAAGTTTCACGGCAAAAACGTTGACAAAACGTTTTTTGTTGTATTCCTACCGACCAAGAGAAGGCTCAGTCCGCTTAAATGCTACAGAAGCAGTCTCTACAGCACTGTCTACTAAGCCCAACAAATCAGCGGCTTTTCATCAGAGTCGTCTACACTACAACTTATAAGCGGTTATTCGCCAAAAGGGTCCCTCCCTATCCAAATAAGCCGAAATTTTATTAGAATTTTTGGGAATTGTTTTTAGAGTTTTTGGAGAATTTCAGACATTTCTAAAAGAATTTTAGAGCTTTTCGGGAAGTTCCGGGAAGAATTTTAGGCCATATTTTGGGAATTATGTAACTAAGCCTAAACTTGTGAAACTCACGAGTGAGGTAAAACAATGAATACAAAGAAGCCACTAAGAAGTCAACACAATGGAGCCAAGGAGAATACCTAGGAAACAAAGAAAAACTTCACAGGTTTTTAGTTTTGTCTTTTGAAGCTATTGTTTAAAATGGCGACAAGATGGTCAAAATATTTTTTCTTTTTCTCCTCTGGACTCATTATTTTCCTTCTTGTCGTGCTAACTTTTGACGACATCCACCTAGGTAAGTTTTCAAGGCGGACAATGAAATCGTCGTTGCAAGTAAACAACACACATTCGCTTGAAAACAACTTGGACGCGATGATAAACGTGAATTCAACAAATAACAACTCACAACTCATGCAACGGGAAAGGACAAAGACGCTTTTACTCATCTACACTGTTTTTTTCGGGAGAGCAAAGTGGATAAGAGATCGTGATTGTGGATTTGAAAACAAGTTTTTATTTGCCGCAAATAAATGTCTCTCAGGTGATTTCGAATTGACCTACGACAAACAGCGGTTTGAGGAAAGCGACTTAGTCGTGTTTCACGCTAGAAACATGCCAAGTGTAGATCATCTAAGAACGCTGCTGAAAAACAGGCCCACTTCACAGCGCTGGGTATATGCTGTGTGGGAAAGTCCAAATGCAACACCAAATCCTGGTCCATTAAACGGACTGTTTAACTCAACGTGGACTTACAGAAGCGATTCAGATTTCTTGTCGCCATACGGAAGTTACGAGGAACTGAGTGAAGAAGAAAAAATGAATAAAATAAAAAACATACCGGACTATTCCCAAGGAAAAACTGAACTTGTGGCTTGGATGGTTAGTAATTGTGGCGCTCAACCTCGAATGGCTTTTGCCCAAACGCTGAAAAAATACATCAAGGTTGACGTGTTTGGAAGGTGCTCCGCAAAATTTGGGCAACAGAGAGGTTGTAGAAATCTAGCTGCTTGCCTTAAAACGTTTAAGTTTTATCTGGCATTCGAAAACGCTTTATGTGAGGATTACATCACTGAAAAATATTGGGGAAGGCTTGGTAAGACCCTGGTTTTTTTAACACTTTTTGTTACAAAATAGTTTCCGAAAGTCCAGTTGGAAAGTAAATAGAACACCATATTTTGGGTCGTTCCAGCAGAGAATTTCCGCGTACATGCCAACTCTTCCGGATACAGCACCGATCTCCCGCTCTCCTGTACGGGTCATCCAATCTCTGGGATAAAATCGACTTTTGAACTTTTCTGTGCTTAAGTTTAAAGTTTAGCTCATTTTTATAGTCAAAACTGAAATTTGTTTTATTTATAATACGGTTTCTGGGGCACCTTTGCATCAAAACGAGAAGTCCAAAGACTATCCATCCAAAAGGCCCGGAGCTAGCCCTCGAAGAAAATTAAAATCCCACAGTTTTTGAACGGTCAAAATGCGTAGTAAGATTCATACGTGCCAGTGAAAAATCGTCCCACTGATTGCTTCTTTTTCATTGGATGTCGTTAAACAATAATTGCCTACCAAGTCTGCTTTAAATCAGTTACTGTTCAACCATTTGGTTAATGACATCCAATCAAAACCAGGCAATCAGCGGGACGATTTCTCACTGGGATGTGACAGTATTTATGAAAAAGTCGAGAAAACGTTCTGGTTTTGTAGTTTATTCATATTTTAAGGACAGTGAATTTACATCTGCTATCCAAATGGATGGAAAGTTTTAAACTACTAGGTATGTGAAAAGGATACCATTTGTCAACAGCAGGTCTACAAAAGGGGTACCGTTCCTCTCAAAAATTCCTCTATAAAAGGGACAAGGGCTGGACCTAAGGGCGGAGCCTCCTAGTAACAAACACAAACCTGTCAGAAAAACCTATAGACCTAAACATGATATTTTCTGCCTTTTTATAGCGTTTAGTTTTCCTTTTTGATATCTTATAATATACTTCGAATGCGCTCATAGACATGGTGGAGATTCTATTTTCGCGGGGAAAAAGTGCCCTAAAATGTGTCTAAAAATAAACTGATCCGTGAAAGCGCCGTGACATAGGCCTAGTATGGGAGTTGCTCGCTCAAGGTTATGGGCTCCTAAATTGTGGCATTTTAAAATACTCGCTAGCCTAAAAGTTTTTCTGATTTCCTGTTTTCCTGATTCTGTAAGTGTTTTCTTCTCTAATTGGCAATATTATGAGTGAAATGAATTACTGCCTGCGGGCCATGATAAAGGCCCTCTAACTGGGACAGATTTCTGGGACGGTTATTAGAGCGTGACCGCTTAATACAGGTGCACAGCATTGGTAAATAGCATTTTAGCTATGGGCGTCTACAATTTAAAGAGGGTCTGAATGGGGGTACATCGATAACACTAAACACTTCATTTTTTGGCTTTGTAACATGAGACAGTTAAATTTTAGGCATTTTAACAGTAACAGTAAAAAATTCTTTTTAACAGTAAATTTTCTCCAGGAAAAAGAAAACACGTCTCCAAAAAGGCCAATATTATTTTGTTTAGTATATCAAGGAGTTTTCGGCCATTTTACGACAATTTAAGAGACTGCCGAAGATTTTCGAAGGCTAACGAAGAGGTCCGACCATTGCTGAAGATATCCGAAGAACCCTCCAAACACTTGACAGTACTTTCTTCGGAAACAGCAAACATTAAAAACTTGGCCAATTTAACAGCAAACACTAAAAATTATGGGAGAATAACATTTAACACTAAACCCCATATAGACCCTCTATAAATATTGCACAGTTTGGTAGTTTTTAGATCATGATTAGATCTCTTTTTTATTCCAGGTGATATGAATGTCATCCCTGTTGTGATGGGAGGTGCCAATTACTCCAAGCTGGCTATTCCGGGGTCTTATATCAATGTTATGGACTTCAAAACTGTTAAACAACTGGCAGAGTACCTTCAGTATCTGGACAAAAATAACACTGCTTATAATGAATACTTTAAATGGAGACTAAAATACAAGGTGTTTCGCAGCAACCTTGATTTATCAATGTGTCAAATATGTAAATGGTTTGTTTCAAAATCTCCGCTTGAACCGAAAGTTTATGGTGACCTTAGCACGCACTGGCTGAAGAAGGGACGATGTAATGAGAAAAGCCATCTTATCCGAAATATGTGGAAAGACGAATGATTCCTAAGGAATGATCATATTATATTACTATCCATTTACAGTTCTTTCAAATGCAAAGAAATGTAACAATCATGACATGCTTAGGTCAGTTGGAGAAGGTAGTTTTAATTTAGAAGAGACAATTTGTTGGTTATGTGACTTAGTCTGCTTCACGGCTGTCTTGTGTCGTCACGCAACGCTCCTCTCCACAGACAGGTCATGCTCAGCAGCCGTTTTGGGGGAGAAGCGTTGCGTGATGACACGAATAACGGCTGTGAAGCAGACACGTCACACTTACTCTTTGCCTTTTTCATAGAAGGGGCGTAACGAGTCAGGGGATAAGAGGCGACTGTATTCGTAGGGGAGTCTGTATCACGCCGAAAAAATTAATGGCTACAGGTGCCCTGTGGCTCTGACCATGGGCATTGGCCATGGCGGAGAAGTTAAACGTAACATTACCCGTTCAAATTCCCCATGCCAACGATGTAAATAGTATTTTTGACAGTGTAGTGTAATGGAACAGACCCTAATAGCTATTTTGCCGGCACGAACCAGAGGACTACGTCGGCTTGGTGTAATTGTGGGTAGCCTTCTGATGTTTTTTGGACATCTTAGCTTAGGAAGAAACAAAAAGGAAATTGCGGTGATAATCATAAGGAACGCATTTCTGGAAAGGAAAAAAGCCTTTATCTTGACGTTTATTATGTTCCAACATACATCTTCACAAGTAATAAACCTTTGAATAACAACAGAAATTTAAACGTAGAATAAGTAACTAATTAAACAAAATGTATGTTGGAACATTCGAAACGTCAAGTTAAGGTCTTTTTATTCTTCTTTCCAGAAAGGCCTTTATATTTCCTTATTTTTATCACCGCGGTTTGCTTTTTGTTTCTTCTTTTGAGATATGTTTAGTTGTTCTTTGCAAATTCGAATCAGTCTAGGTCAGAATTCATTCCAACACCTAATTTTTATTTTATTTGTCAATGTTTGTTATATTTGTTTGTAGGCATTTGGCAGTCGTTAGTTTCCGTGTACCTCTGCCTCCGAGTGGACGACACCGCAGCCAATTTTAGTAGGAGGGGGTTGGGGGCATAAGTACCCTATTTTCCAAGAAACAGTTTTGCGTTTTCGTATCCGGCGGTGTCGTACTTTGCTTCTTTAGAGGTTTGTTTTTCATCATAGCGGGTTTTGTTACTAAGGACGGTCTTATAACCTTACAGTGATTTTCCAATAAACTGGTTTTGAGGTCCTTGCTGACCGACAGACCCTTGTATCGACTCTTGTGTGTGTTTTTCTGGGTAGTTTAGGAAAAATTGGTCAAATTCTCCACTCCCCTGGGACACTAAAGTGCTGGTTAAATGCCCGGGGTTTGCCCGGGGGGATATTGAAGTTTCGAGCTGATCGGTGCATGAGTCTAGCGTAGAATGGATGTTTTCCTGCTTGTGTTTCTTTGTACTGTCCCCTGACTATCTGAACGTACGCTTGGAACAGGCCAAATCACCATATTCCTGATATTCAGATTCATATTCACTTTCCTGATATTCACTTTTTGAAGCTAGTTGTTCGTCTTGTTCATCTGTTGTTATTATTGATGATTAGTGATCCAATTTATATTTTGTAAATAGTTTTTAAATGTCCTATTTTATATATTTTATATTGTACATAGCTTATATCTGCTTTATCTTTTAATTTAGGGAAAAGTCATGGGGTCAACCTCAAGTTTTTCCTTTTCAAGATAATTTATAATTTGTATTTTCCTCTCTTGAAAAAAAATACGTCATGTTATGTTATGTAATGTTAGCTATCATTTAAAATTGCGAGAAGGTGTCCAAACTACTTCTTCTTCTTCGTCTCAATTTGGCTGCTTAACTTAACGTTGAAAGAGAAGCGATTCAGATTTCTTGTCGCCATATGGAAGTTACGAGGAACTGAGTAAGGAAGAAAAAATAGATAAAATGAAAAACATACCGGACTATTCCCAAGGAAAAACTGAACTTGTGGCTTGGATGGTTGGTAATTGTGGCGCTCAACCTCGAATGGCATTTGTCCAAAACCTGAAAAATACATTGTGGTAGCACTACGCTCGCATATCACTCACACTGCGAAAATGTAGCCTCTGCTCGCAGGGTATAGTAATCGTCCATCTTTCTGTTGATAGCTCGAGAAAAGATATGTTGCAGACATACTAGGCTGGAATTTTTTGTGTATGTTTTGTAATCGCGATGAAGATCAGTGGAAGAACGCGAATTCACTTTTTAAGCGACCTTCCTTCGCATCACTGTCCCCGGAAGCTGCTTCGTGCAGGAACTGCAATAAGACTGACTAGTCACAGTCGTGTCACAGTCGTGACCAACATCAATTTTCTCCCAACCAACATCCGCAGATCATCAAAAGTAAAGGTTCTGAGAATTACTGAATTGATAGCCTGCGTAGCAGGCGCTAAGAAATGGGCGCAAGAAAGAACGGGCGCGCGCGAGGGATACACGCGAGGGAGAGGGAGCGCCTGCACGGGAGGCCCCCGAAAATCGCGCGTCTCCTTCTCGCGCGCGCGTTTTTTCTTGCGCCCATTTATTTCCTAGCGCCTGCTACGCAGGCTACTAAAATGATTATCAAAGGGAGAATGCTTTGATCTTAAACCAAATTCTCTTAGCTACTCTTAAAAGAAACGTATGGAGATCAGTCTGGAGAATTTGGATGTGGATCTTGGGGCTTAAAGAGTTATGTAACGATAACGACGACGGAAATGAGAACGTCAAAAAAGCAACTAAGAATATGGTTTAGATTAGAAAAACAACAAATTTGCACGTGCCTCACGCTTTTTTTACATTTCTTTGCCGTCGTTACTCGACCACGATTTGCCGGTTATCATCAGATCCCAACGGCCTAAACCCCTACGGACAACTCATGAAGTTTACACAACGTACTATTGTTTGTCGCTTCGTTTTCGAGCACTGACTATTAATAGTAACACTGAAAATAAGCCGCTGGAACAAAATTCAAATTTAATTAGCCTTATCAAAATTAAACTTTAAAAGAACCTATAAACGTCTACGAACTTCTAGAACAGCGTTCCTTGAAGCGGCAAAATGCGCGCGCATTAGGCTAATCAAATTATCACTAAAATTTGTCTTTATGACGTCAACTGAGTTATTTAATCATTTTCCAGACGAAATGGCGTTGTGTGAACACAGTTGTTGACGCAGCGTCTAATATGGAAAAGAAAAAAGCGATCGTTGCTATTTTGGTTTGTTTGTTTACACTGGATAATTCTTGCGAAGGTAAGGGAACACTTATTTTAGAGTTATCTTTTGCTTCAAAGTTAGTTTTGGAGAGGAAAACACATCATTTAATCGCCACTAATTGCTAGTCTCTTTTCCCAAACGGAGTAACATTCTCCACATCTATTTCCTGAGCCGTGTTTCCTTTGAGCCTGTGATAGACTGACTTCACTTTCTTCGCGCGCAAATAATAACAGCAACGACAGCAACAACACAATTTTATTGTAAGAATAAACTTGATTTATTACACTGTCTGCAGGTAACAAAAGCTAATCTAGGCGGGACAGAAGAGCAACTGAGGGCTAGGGTTAAACTTTTTTTAAAATAAATAATCGGCAAAGATTTCAGCATGTAGTTGTTGTTGTTGTTGTCGTTCTACAGGCTGACAAAAGTTTTTATCAGCGTTGGTGCTTAGGGTACAGTACAAACGCGCGCGCAAACGACAGCAGTATTTTATGAAAATGTACTAACGAGTTTAACCACTAAGCATTACTCTATGGAACTCCACTTTTTTATCAACTTATCCTTAAAATTTGCCCAGAAGTTCCAAAACAGAGTGAGAGATGACGCGCCATGAAATTATAGATTCTAGATTAAAGTCTTTGTCACCCTAACCCCTGGGTATTGGGCTTTTGCTTCTCACTCCCCCTCCCACTCCCCTCTCCCGCTAAGTAGGGCCTGATACTCAGGTTACTGCCACCCCGGCTTTAAATTATATACGATTATTCGCTAAAGTAGAATTGGAGATAATGTGGTAACCCTGTTCACCCCTCTCTTGTTTTGTTGGGCGTTACTCTTGCAGGTTTACCTATTCGAACTCAAGTTCCAAAGGATTCTCTCGCGTTCACTGCCGCCTCATTTTTTGATGCTGACGAACTAGAAAAGGTTCGTTGGGGAGGAACACAACCTGTACCTCTGAAACTATCCTACTCACCGACTCAGCTGGATTCACTGAAAGAAACCGACAACTTACGTGATACTGACTCAGATGATGAATTCCGTACCACATCAAAAGAAAACATCCAAGGAAAAGCCAATGAAAATGAACAACAGTCTTCTCGAGAAGAAGCTTTTCCGCGAAGCAAGCCTAAGATGTCATCGAGACATGGCAGAGGTTCCTCTAAGCAAGGAAGCAGACACAACACCGCTACACCATACCCGGATGATATGACGTCTTCAGGAATTCGTTGGCAAGTGGCCCATCTTTATGAAAGCAAAGACGATGACAAGAATGTCAAGAAAAAGAAGACGAAAAAGACGAAAAAGCCTCACGATCCTTCGGAATCTGGTTCTGCGGCAATTGTTGCAGGAATTTGCGCTGGTATCTTGGTTCTGCTTTGTATTGTTTCTGGCCTGGTGCGTCTATGGTAAGTTAACAGTATATGTTATAAGCTGCACTTCAGCCAGGCGTTTATGGTGGGTCATGCAATGGCTATGCGGTAAAAGTTAATCCTAGCTTTTTCCACGGGAATGTAAAATAAAGAAAATTAATTTCATTAAAATAAAAAGAAATTTTGTTTATAGTTTTTCTTTTATTTTTGGAGCTTCGTGAGACTTTAACAGTTCTCGCGAAGCTCCAAAAAGCCCGAAAAAAATCGCCATAGTTGCTCAGCAAGAATTTTGGCGGTACCCTGTTCTAGTAGACTAGAGAGCAAAAATCTCTTCCCTTCCCCGTTTAACTAGGAACTAATATTTCTTGTTCTTCACGTTACCCTAATGATAAATTTCCCATAAATGATGCCCTATTTAAGGCCATTTCCTCTGATTTCTTTACCTTATTCCGACAAAATTCCTTGAAAGCTCTACCCGCGACACAGCGACATATTCCTATGTCCTATTTATATAGCAGTTCCAGAGGGCTTTTTCTAATTTAAATCCATCTTATTACCTTTTATTTTCAATGGAGCTACCAAGGGAGGAGTACATCAGTTTTAGTCATTCCCTTTTTTTGACCATTCTCTTTTCACAGGAGGAAGTGTAAGAAGCGTTCTAGGGAGCCCAGCGATGCTGAACTCGGCTTGGTGACCCCGTGGCCAACAGAACAGGAAGCAGCTGTTAGCGATGAGGAAATTATTTACGAGAAAAAAGTCACAGGAGGTAAAAACAAAGCAGAATCCAAAAGTAAATCTGACTCAAAGCCCAAGGCTTCCCCTCAAACCGGCCAGTGCGTTGTGTGAACACAGTTGTTGACGCAGCGTCTAATATGGAAAAGAAAAAAGCGATCGTTGCTATTTTGGTTTGTTTGTTTACACTGGATAATTCTTGCGAAGGTAAGGGAACACTTATTTTAGAGTTATTTTTTGCTTCAAAGTTAGTTTTGGAGAGGAAAACACATCATTTAATCGCCACTAATTGCTAGTCTCTTTTCCCAAACGGAGTAACATTCTCCACATCTATTTCCTGAGCCGTGTTTTCTTTGAACCTGTGATAGACTGACTTCACTTTCTTCGCGCGCAAATAATAACAGCAACGACAGCAACAACACAAATTTATTGTAAGAATAAACTTGATTTATTACACTGTCTGCAGGTGACAAAAGCCAATCTAGGCGGGACAAAAGAACAACTGAGGGCTAGGGTTTAACTTCTTAAAAAATAAATAATCGGCAAAGATTTCGTCATATAGTTGTTGTTGTTGTTGTTGTTGTACAGGCTGACAAAAGTTTTTCTCAGCGTTGTTGCTTAGGGTACAGTACAAACGCGCGCAAACGACAGTAACGTACTAACGAGTTTAACAACTGACCATTACTCTATGAAATGCTACGTTTTTATCAACTTATCCTTAAAATTTGCCTAGAAGTTCCAAAACAGAGTGAGAGATGACTCGCCATGAAATTATAGATTCTAGATTAAAGTCTTTGTCACCCTAACCCCTGAGTATTGAGCTTTCGCTTCTCACTACCCCTCCCCTAGCCCCCTCCCCCCTCCCCTCGCCCGCTAAGGAGGGCCTGATACTCAGGTTATTGCCACCCCGGCTTTAAATTATATACGATTATTCTCTAAAGTAGAATCGGAGATAATTAGTAACCCTGTTCATCCCTCTCTTGTTTTGTTGGGCGTTACTCTTGCAGGTTCACCTATTCGAACTCAAGTTCCAAAGGACTCTCTTGCGTTCACTACCTCCTCATTTTTTGATGCTGACGAACTTGAAAAGGTTCGTTGGGGAGCAACACAACCTGTACCTCTGAAACTATTCCCCTCAACGACTCAGCTGGATTCACTTAAAGAAACCGACAACTTACATGATACTGACTCAGATGATGAATTCCGTACCACTTCAAAAGAAAACATCCAAGAAAAAGCCAATGAAAACGAGCAACAGTCTTCTCGAGAAGAGTCTTTTCCGCGAAGCAAGCCTAAGATGTCATCGAGACATGGCAGAGGCTCCTCTAAGCAAGGAAGCAGACACAACACTGCTACACCATACCCGGATGATATGATGTCTTCAGGCATTCGTTGGCAAGTGGCCCATCTTTATGAAAGCAAAGACGATGACAAGAATGTCAAGAAAAAGAAGAAGCAAAAGAAGAAAAAGCCTCACGATCCTTCGGAATCTGGTTCTGCAGCAATTGTTGCAGGAATTTGCGCTGGTATCTTGGTTTTGCTCTGTTTTATTTCTGGCCTGGTGTGTCTATGGTAAGTTAACAGTATATTAGTCTATATGTTATAAGCTGCACTTCAGCCAGGTGTTTATGGTGGTTCGTGCAACGCATGGCTATGCGGCAAAAGTTAATCTTAGCTTTTTCCACAGAAATGTAAAATAAAGAAAATTAATTTCATTAAAATCAAAAGGAATATTTTTTTATAGTTTTTCTATTTTTAGAGCTTCGTGAGAGTTAAAGACAAAATCCATTATGAAATTGAGTAATTTGAAATTGTAGTGGACAAAAACCTTGTACCAGAATCATTTCAAGCGTATTGCATTCCTTTTCACACTTTTCAAGGGCCATAAATGTAATAAGTTGTATGAAATAACTCCGAAGAAAAGGTTCTCATTGGAGCCCAAGAAACCTTTAAACTTCAAAAGCCTCAAACTTGGCAAAATGAAATCTTACGCATGACGATTTTACCTGTGTTTTCTCAATTCCTGTGAAAATTGAACTTTATTTTCTTGGGCTCCTGTAAGAAATTTCTTTGGTGTTATTACACAGGCCCGTAACCAGGATTTTATATGGGGGGTGCTAATGAGGCCAAAGTGGACCAAACTACCGAAATGTATTTTATATTGTTTGATCCGTTTATTTAGGAGTCTTAGGAAAGTAGCAATAAATGAAAAATTGTAACGGCAAAGTACACAGTAGGAACTGAACATTACATTTGTCGAATACAACTGTTTGAATTAAGTTATAAAGGAGTAATTTATACGATGTAAAATGGTGCATCAAAATACTGTGGAACTAATCCCTCAGAATAGTCCCGAGCTCCTTCCTCCGTGTGTATGTTTGGTGGCAAACAGATTTCCAAAACAATTTTAACTTGATAATGTATGTGCATTAGTGCGGGGCAGACAGCCTTTCCTTGCCCATGCATGCCCTGTTATATGTATGCAGCCGCCTTAAATATCAATGTTAAGTTTGAAACTTCAGTTTAACTGACTGCACTCCATAACTTGGATATTGAGTATCAAAATGCGGACCTTTGGGGCCTGTAGGGGGGTGCGAACGCACCCCGTGCACCCCTCCTGCTTACGGGCCTGTTACAGATTACTTATTACATCTGTAGCCCTTAAAAAAGTGTAAAAAAGAATGCGATATGGCTTAAAATATTCTGGTGCAAGGTTTCTGTCCACTGAAATTAAAATTACTCAATATCCTAATGGAATAAAATCGCCAGAGTTGCATAGCAGAAATTTTGGCACCCCGTTCTAGTGGACTAGACAGCAAAAGTCTCTTCCCCTTGCCAGTTTAACTAGAAACTAATATTTCACTCTTGTTCTTCACGTTACACTAATGATAAGTTTCCCATAAATGATGCTTTATTTAAGGCCAATTCCTCTGATTTAATTTCTATAACTCATTCCGACAAAATTCCTTGAAATCTCTACCCGCGACACAGCGACATATTCCTATGCCTTATTTATAGAGCAGTTCCAGAGGGCTTTTTCTCATTCAAATCCATCTTATTACCTTTTATTTTCAATGGAGCTACCAAGGGAGGAGTACATCACTTTTCGTCATTCTCTTTTTTTTTACCATTCTCTTTTCACAGGAGGAAGTGTAAGAAGCGTTCTGGGGAGCCCAGCGACGCTGAACTCGGCTTGGCGACCCCGTGGACAACAGAACAGGAAGCAGCTGTTAGCGATGAGGAAATTATTTACGAGAAAAAAGTCACAGGAGGTAAAAACAAAGCAGAATCCAAAAGTAAATCTGACTCAAAGCCCAAGGCTTCCCCTCAAACCGGCCAGAGCATCAATTACGCTGCACATCCACCAGCAATCCCTAGTAAAGGGCCACAGGGCTTGGATTTAACTCCTACATTTCGCAGTAGAGGAACCCCATTAGCGGAAGAATGGACTGTTAATGAATCTTTCGACTCACTATATTCTGCAGTCCCATCCACAGGCTCGTCAATGTCTGAGCCATCTATCTGGACACCAAATGATACGCCCCCGTCTACTCCAAACAACACGCCTTCCTTGACGTCGGAATCAGACTCAAGGACAGTCTGTAAAGAGTCCTTCCCTAAAATCAAACTGGAAACTTATTCTGCTTCTGGCGAAAACGTGACGGCTTCAGACACCAAGATAAACCCTCGACTCCAAGCCAAGACCTCCGCGGAATCCTCTTGTCTTTCCAAGGGATCTGGAGAAAGCGTTCCGATAGAATCCGACAAAACCAATTCCTCAGAATCGTGTAAGACTCCAGTGGCACCCTTAAACGAAGTTATTATAACAATGGAAGATGACGAGGAAGTGAAATTGGTGCTGGTTCCTTCGATTGAGTGTTCGTCGGAGGAAATTCTAATGACAGATAAACGGTCAAAGTCAAAGGAGACCGTGATTACTGACGGAAAGGTATCAAGCAAAAATGAGAAGNCAACAGAACAGGAAGCAGCTGTTAGCGATGAGGAAATTATTTACGAGAAAAAAGTCACAGGAGGTAAAAACAAAGCAGAATCCAAAAGTAAATCTGACTCAAAGCCCAAGGCTTCCCCTCAAACCGGCCAGAGCATCAATTACGCTGCACATCCACCAGCAATCCCTAGTAAAGGGCTACAGGGCTTGGATTTAACTCCTACATTTCGCAGCACAGGAACCCCATTAGCGGAAGAATGGACTGTTAATGAATCTTTTGACTCACTATATTCTGCAGTCACATCCACAGGCTCGTCAATGTCTGAGCCATCTATCTGGACACCAAATGAAACGCCTCCGTCTACTCCAAACAATACGCCTTCCTTGACGTCGGAATCAGACACAAGGACAGTCTGTAAAGAGTCCTTCCCTAAAATCAAACTGGAAACTTATTCAGCTTCTGGCGAAAACGTGACGGCTTCAGACACTAAGATAAACCCTCAACTCCAAGCCAAGACCTCCGCGGAATCCTCTTGTCTTTCCAAGGGATCTGGAGAAAGTGTTCCGATAGAATCCGACAAAACGAATTCATCAGAATCGTGTAAGACTCCAGTAGCACCCTTAAACGAAGTTATTATAACAATGGAAGATGACGAGGAAGTGAAACTGGTGCTGGTTCCTTCGATTGAGTGTTCGTCGGAGGAAATTCTAATGACAGATAAACGGTCAAAGTCAAAGGAGACCGTGATTACTGAAGGAAAGGTATCAAGCAAAAATGAGAAGGTGTGGGCTTCGTCTCTTGACAGCGGAGATCGTTATCTGTTGGGATCTGGACACGAATCGTCCTCTGGAGAACTCATCTACTCAAGTGAGGTTCCCATCATACCGGATCATGCAGAAGTTACTTCATGTAAACCACCTTTGCCTCCGCCTCCAATGACACCGCTGACCGCTACAAGTGAACTCAGGCGAGGTTTGTAAGCATCGGAGATTTAGATTACATTTTCAATATGTCCAGGAATACCTTCCCTTGCCGCGCGTCGTTAGACCTTCGTCACGAGTTCCCGGATTGCATGTCAAAGCCCAAAGCATGTCTGTGTCTGTGTCCTAAACTAGTTCAGGGCCTAAATCTGTACGAGCCACAATAATGGCGAAACAGCTGTGTACGGCTACAACCTCGCTCTTTTTTGGGTTCGATCGGTGTTTTGTTGATGTCTTGGAAAGTTAATTTTCAAGTATATTTTTGCTAATCAGGTCTTCTTTAGATCAGACGTTCTGTGGCTTATTCGTTGTGGTCCTTTGCAGTTAATGTTCATTTAAAAAAAAGTCGATTTTGTCGGTCTCTTACAAGCGAAATATTGCCCTTGTACAGAGGATTTAATTTGGGAAGAAATAAATGACGAAACTCCTTATATATCGCGGTCACAAAAAAACAGAAGCGGTCTTATCCCGGTTGTTCAAACGTTGGATAGCGCTATCCACCGGATAAATCACTATCCAGCGGATAAGTATTAGGGAAACCAATTGCACTATCCAGTGGATAGATTTTTATCCTGTGGATACCGCTATCCAACGTTTGAACAACCGCGGCCTAGAAAGTAGAGTCTCGATTCACGCGGTAACGGTTGACTACAGAGTTGATGTGGCGGTAAAGGTTTAGGGCGCGAGGAGGGCAGAACTTCGCAAGCCATTCAAACTCAGGTGACTACAGAACGACTTGACCGACTTATCACTCAATTTCAATTTATCGCGTTATGTTTTTTTAGACTGCAAGTAGTCTTCATTTTTCTCGGGTAGGGTGATTGTCACGTGCGTTCGCGTTTCGCCCGCTCTACTATCCCTGAGGAAAAATGGGGATTACTCGTAGTCTATGTCTTTATTTATCATTTTCTTTCCTTTTCCCCGTTACATCCAGTGTTTGTTGTTTCTATTTTCAGGGAAGGCATTTGGGGGACGCAAAACCAAGGAAAATAGGCTCTTCATTAAGCATCTGACGTCGGCAAACTATTTCCAAGGTTTCCTTGGTAATATAACCTTGGCTATTTCCAAAATTCTGACCAAAAACGGAGGATTCGCAGACAAAAGCAAAGAAAAACGAAGAGTTATTAGAGAACAGACGAAAGAAACGAAAGCATCTCTCTTTGAAAGTATTCTTCTAGCAAAGGTGAAACTAATACTGTAAAATAAAGTTATGACAGCCTAAATTTTTACTACTGGTGTTCTTCATTACAAGAAAAAAAGACGTCAGCCTTGAGGTTATTTTAACTATTAGTCATTTTTCAGTTTCATAATTTATTTCATATAAAGGATTAAGCATCACAGTTTAGGAAAGAGAAGATACACATTGGTTACAAACCAAAAATCGTGACCTATTTGCTTCTTTATAATCATGAAATGTCTGCTTTCTGTTAAAACTGAAATTAAATTATTTATTATACAGGGCATTATCATGAACGATAACATGGACACAGCAAGAGATAAGAAATGTGTTTCTCGACGTCGTATCATTCGCAAGGCATTCTCTCTCCCCGCCGGAAGCACCCTCCGATCACACACCCCGCTCTCACAGGAAGTCGCTTTTGCACGCGCTGTCCTTTTTCCCAGCTTCATTCGTAAATGGGTTTTGAGAAGAGCTTATGAAAGATGCAAGGTGATCGGGGAGATTGTGAAGAAATTGAACAATCCTTCCTTTGAACACGTCCTGCAGATTGCAGCCTCGACTGTCAACCCTGACCCCATTACAAGAGATTTGAACGCTAAAGGAAACTATAAGCGAAGGGTAGGTAGTAAAATACACATCAAAGTCTATTCATTGCTCAAGTTAAACCTGCAGAAGCCACTCCTGACCCGTTATTTAATGGTCACATGCATATTGTGTTTTAGTGATTAGTTCTGTAGTGGAGTCAGCGCCTAATACCTTTCACCTTACACAAAATTTCCTGTAAAATTGTGAAGATGTATATCACACAAATTTCATCAGGGAGCCCTAACCATAACAGTTTTTGTGTGGGTTTTGCGGGTATTGCATTAAAACTTAAAATATGTGACCCAATTTTCTTAAGTTGCAATCCATGTCGAAATCTTTGCAATCAGTAGCAACAAACGATAGAAACTAGTTTGAATACCTAAATATAGTCTTACATGTAGATAACTGGGACATCATTTTTGGAATTCAGTCGTTTTGAAGACACGTTGCAGTTTTAAAATGATAGAAAAACAGTGCGACATAGTCCCTTAAATTTAGGCTTCACAGGGGCATTATCAGGACAATGCAAGGGCATTTATATCTTTACTATCATCTGGTATATATGAATCGAATTTTAGCATTTTTGTAAGTTTTAAATTCATAATTACAGTTGGTTCGATTAGCTCGCTTTAATCGATGAAGCTTTAACTCGATCAGAGCTGATTGTGAATTTTTAACTTCAGTCTCTAATGTCTCTATTATAAGTCCGTACCCCCTGAAGTTCAATCTAAGGTTGTTATACACGTCCCACGTTGATTGCAAGGCAACAGGGATAAGATTTAACACCCATACTTAACCTTACTTTGGTTTCTCTGTGCTCTCTTTTAGATCATGAAGATCGATGCATTAATGCTGCAAAACAAGCGTCAAACGAGTACTTTTTCATTAGATATACAGTTGGGCAGGAACGTAATTTGTGGACAGTCAGTATTGAACCACGAAAACAACCCAAAAAAAGATTGCGACTGTTATTTTTGCAAAAAGCATTGGAGCAAACTAGGAGGACGTCCATCCTTTAAATCTCAGAGGTTTGTATGATTGCTGATTGCCACAAAATTTAACAATTCTAATTTTTTAGGGGAAATTGTTTATATTTCCTTACATGGACTAGTGACGGTCATACGATGAATGGTAAGTCGGTTCCTTTTGAATGTTTAAAGTCAGGAATTACGAATCCATTGAACCAATCACGTTGCATCAAATTATATTTCATTTATATTTGATTGAAAAAACGTTAAATTTGTCGCTAAAAAGAATAAACCCTGAACGATGAGTCGTCAAGGATAGATCGGTACGGTCGCAATTAAGCTGCTCGTGCGGATGCAAATCCCTAGAAGTTTTTTGTTTAAGGCATGCTGTTGTATTTTTATGTCGTCCAAGAAAGCTTTTAGGTCCTATCTTATGAGTGTCAAGTCTGCGTTAACGATATGGCTACTCTCTTTAACTGTACGGAGACCTCTTATGAGTCCAACAGAGGTCAAAATGTAAGCTTATCGCCATGAAAACTCAGGAAGCCTTTTGCCCTTTTTTGCGGTGAATGCATCGCCGCGAAAAGCTTCGATAGTGTAAACTTTTCTGAAAAGAACTTCAAATTTGCAATGCTAATAATAAAGTTTTATCATATAAATGAAGATCATCGTAGAAAAAAAAATTCAGGCTTGTACGTGATTCGAACCCTTGACCTCAGCCCTGTTCTGGAGTTGTTAGACTCTCTCAGGCCCAGTTCAACAAATTGAATGATACGAGTTCAACGGTTGAATCAGACGTCTACCACCACTTCTTGTGTAAGATTACAGGATTACAGTCAATTTAAGATAAAATTCATAGTACCATAATTACAATACAAGATATATATCTTAATCTTGAAAACAATACAGTTTAAGTTGAACAAGAACACTTTTATAAAATAGGCAAAATAGGTAATACAGAAGGATCAAAACGGTGAGGAGACCTTAGAAACCCAAAAGCTTCTACAAGGAGGCCTCCCCATGATATGGTCATTGATTGAAATCATTTAGGACTATTAGGCAGCATAAGAATTCAATAGACTTCAGCATGCATAAACCATTTTTTCCACCCAAGCCTTAACATTTTTTCTGTCTTTTTGTTTCAGGTTTATCCTCCACTGATGTACTTTAAGTTTTACTTTACGACTCATCTTACTTCTCTACCGGTCCATTCGTGACCACAGAATTTTTCACGCTGAATGTTCGAAGAAAAATTCTTCGTAATAAGAATAGATGTTTGTGCTTATGATGTGTATATTTTCTGAGCTTATCCTGTGCATGTGTGTGAATTAAATTCTATTCGGGAAACAAAATGTGCCCTTGTTTTGTTAATTAAATTGTTTTTAAATCTTGTGTAGTTTTTGGCATGCAGAGCGCATAAAAGGCACAAGAAAGAAGACTTCGTTTGTCTATTTTTATTTCCTAACGCTTAATACTTGATAAGGTTAGGAAATGTTCATTATAACCTTTCTTTGCCGTGCTTCACAATTAGTTTTGAAAAAGAAAACACACATCACCAATAAACGGCTTTCCGAAATTGCTCTCCGAAACTATAAGAGACGACAATATTTGAAAGGAAATCAGTTGATGCACTTTCGGTAGATTGCCTCGCGTAACAACAACCCCTCACAAGCCGACAAAAGTTTTTCTCAGAGTTTGTTTAATGGGGGATACTGGGGGATAATCACGCGCAGAAGACTAAAATTCTACCTTTAAAACTTCGGCTCCGCTTTGTTCCCTCAAATCTGGTGCGCTTAGGTTTTCAAGTGTAATGATTATTAGCAATAAATCTCCCTTCTCGATTAAAAAGAAAAACAAGAAATTCCAAT